CGTGGTACGCCTTTGCTGTGATCCGTTCCAGCCAAGACGGCTTGGATCTATTCCAAGATCACAGGAGTTGCAGCAGATTGTTGATGTAGTCATCTCAAAAATAAACAGAATTTGGGAAAAGACTGGAGAGAAGCACAGATCAAACACAGCTTCTTGGCACAGTAGCTGAAAAAAAGAGAATTTCGCCCTGCCTCGGCTTGGCGGGCCTCGAACCGAAAGGCGGCAAGTGAAGCGTCTTGACCACGTTGGGAACCAAGCCTGGGATGTTCTCATTTCAGAGAGAAAACTGACCAGCTGGTCAGCTCCTTTGTAAGAGATGGACGGCACGTATTGCTCGGTCAAAAGGGCTGACAAGCCCGAAAAGGCAAGTTTTTCAGTGTTGTTGTTTGGTCGAACCGGGTCGAGACCCATAAGGTTTTGGAGTCGTCTCAGGAACCCCTGATGAGGCTGTTTGATCGATGCGATCTGGAAATCTGGGATTACCCAAATGGGATGGACTGCGGGCCCAAGGATGGCACAGATTCCCGACAGACCCTGACTTGTGGCTGGACTGGACGTTGTCAATGGCGGTCAACCACTGACCTGCTGTTCTTGGTAGGCTAGAGAACCAATGCAATTTAGCCAGGGCTACGGCAAGTCTTTTGCCGAAGTCGAAGGGGGAGGAATTGAGAAATAGGCGCTTCCGAAGCGAACATCGCCTGTCTGGGGTTCAGTTAGCTTGCCAGGTCTCGCGTCGCATTCTGTAGTGGCACCCATGTGAGTTGTGTTGATCTCTAGCCCGAGCGTCGCTAGGCAGTGGCTAGAGAGCCAGGAACGAAGAAAAAGTAAAGAGCGAGACTGAGAGCAAGGCAATGGGTATGATGCAAGAGCCAAGTGAGACTGACAGCTGCCACTGAGCATAGAAAGTCAATCTGGATCGACGACAAGGGAAGACGCTATGAGCAAGCAAAAACGCATAATGACTGATGAGTAATTCGGATCAGATTTCGTCAAGCCGCAGATCAACGAGATGTTTCTCGTTACAGTGAACTTGCAACATACTTTTCATTCCATTGATCATCATTTACGGGGAAACTGACATGTCTAAAGACCAAGCTCTAAATCTTTCGGGACCGGATGATCTGGGGAGAATATGTGAGGACCAGAGCCACGGGTTCAATTAATTTATCGGACCTTTCAGCCGGGAGGACTAACTCCCGCCCACAATACAAGCACTGGCGATAGATTACTTTTTGATTAAATGACCTACGTGCCACCGGGCCATGCGTGACACACAAGCGCTAGAGCATTTCAAACTCTCAGCCTCCCAGCAGCCACCCTCGGGGCCTGACGAGCTTAATGCTACGACTCGTACGAGGCAATGCAACCCAGCACCATTCTTTTCCGCACTTGTGCATCGCATGCTTTGACAGCTCTGTGCTGTAGGATGAGGTTGAGCTTGCCACCGGATGGCACTTGAGAAAAGGCTCAGCGTCGTCCCATCGCCAAAAGTCCCAGTTCTCTCGCGCGTCAGCATCATCAACCCAGCACAACTCTTCTTCAGCGTCGCAGAGCCCTCGAAACCAGCTCACTGTCGTCCTGTTCCCCTCTCACAGGATACAGTCCCTAAAACCCCGAGAGCATCATGTCGCGACCCCCCCTCTTGTGGCAGCCGAAGCTGGGGGAACAAGCTGGACAGAAAGGATCTGAGTGGTGGACAATTGCCGGGTGCCCAAGTCAACCTCATGCCGCTTCCAAGTGGAGGCCCCATGATGGTGGATTCCATCTCACGATGCCGCGTTTTAAAGCGTGCCGGGGGGGTTTTAGGGTGCTGGAGCAGACTTCTTCCCTCGTCTTCCTCATCGCTTCGGCCCCGAAAGTAAAGAAAGATTGGAAAGCTACAGGGATGTGACGCGCTCGGCCCGGGGGACGTTAGGGGGACATTGGGGGACGCTAATCCCTGAATGGTCCTCTGGCACATCACTGTTGCGCAGAGACCCCTTTCTTCGAGTCCCTTCGCCTCCAGATGATCCATGCTGTTGGATCTTCTCCCCATTCAAACCATTCTTCTTTCGTCATTCTGGCTACTTTTTGACCAGGGGCTCTAACTTAACTCTCTCGCTTCAAGCCGACATCGCCCTGACCTGAACCACTTGCAGTCACCGCGACCCCTTCAAGAAGGCAGCGGTTGGGCGCATGCAGAATCCGAAGCAACTATGAGCTGGCAGCAGGGCACCTCCATGTCAATTTCGGCCGTGTTCCCGAACATAAGAGACTGGACGGAGGCGGCCATCTGAACCCCCATGCTCCCTGGGTGAATCCTCGATCCAAGCGACATGAGACAAACTGTGCGTGTGAGGCCAGTTGGGACGACACTTTGTAGCACGCGGACGACTTGGGCCACTGTGATGGCCGTGACGTCCTTGCCGCACCATGGCTATTTCATCCCATCGTTCTAGTATGATCGTCGCTAAGGGGGTGGTCAGGGCCATGAGTAGCACTTTGCGGCACGTTGCGACCTCGACCTAGGCACACTCTTCCACGAGGCGGCGTTTACTGATGGCTGAGCAAGACAGAAAGCAGGCAGAGCAGGCTTGCCTTCTCGGCTACGATCCCATGTATGAGAGAAAGCGGGAACGGCATCTAGAAGGGATGGGAAGAAGCCTGTCATGGGTTGTCATCGTCGCAGACTGTCTCGTCTTGCCCCCTTCTTGCCTATGCGCGCAGTAAGAGAGCCGCGAGATCATGGAAACGACTGATCTGACATCGGACACTCCTAGATCTATATAATAGTGATGATCCCACCTGTCATCCCAACTCTCTTTCCTTTCCTCCTCATCCAGCAACCAACAAGCATCCTTCTCTACTCTTCAATCTTTCAGTTCTGTGAACTTTTTTACGTTCTCGACACTCTTTCTTGTCCTGATCCAACTACACACCGCTAGCCGGTCTATTACAATCTTTTTCAACTTTTAACTTCTAAACCCCGTTCGATTCTTCGACACTCAGTAAACGTTGCTTCAATCAACCCTTTACAGCCTTCAAATCAGCAAACATGTCTTACTCCAAGATCCTTCTCATCTCCGCCGTTCTGGCCGCTGTCGAAGCCCGCTTCGGCCAGGAGCAGGTCCCCGTTCAAGCCGTCTCTTCTCTGCAGGCTGGCAACCCCGGTGAAGCCGCCACCCTCGCTGGAGGCATCCCGGGCGTTCTCCTCGCCGCCGCCGACCCTTGCGACAAGCTGACTCTCGCCGACAAGATTGCGGCCCTCGGTACCGGCGCCGATGTTCTCGAGGCTGCCAAGGGTGTCGTTGCCGCCGAGCAGAACTTCAACCCCTTCGTCGTCAGCGTTCCCAGCATCTGCGGCGATGCCTCTCTCCCCGCCACCGAGGCCCTCCGTGGCATCGTGCCCCTCGTCGACCCGGCCGTCACCGGATCCGATGCCGAGAACGCCAACTCGGCCACTTCTCTGACGAACCCTTTTGATGCCACTGGTCTGTCTGTCGCCGAGGTGATGCAGGCTCAGGGCTTCTCCAACTTCACCATCAAGGGCCAGGCTGCTGGTGGTGCTGCCGCCGGAGGCAATGCCAACGCCGGCAACAACAACGGCAATGCCAACACTGGTAACGCCAACACTGGTAACGCCAACAACAACCAGAATAACGGCAACAAGAACAACAACAACAATGCCGGCAATGCCAATGCCAACACCGGAAATGCCAACGCTGGAAGCTCCTGCGGCGGTGCTGCCAGCGGAAACGCTGGTGCGAGCAACAACACCGGTAACGCTAACACTGGCAACGCGAACAACAACAACAACCAGAACAACAACCAGAACCAGAACACTGGCAACAACAACGCCAACAACGGCAATGCCAACACTGGAAACGCCGGCAACGCCAACAACGGTGGAGCTGCCACCGGCGCCGCTGACTTCGGAAAGTGCACTCCCACTATTGACTTCCAGCTTGGCCGTGCTGGCCGCAAGGCTGATGAGGGAACCTTCTTGCCTACCGACCCCCTCGTTGCCCAGGGCCAACAGGATGCCCTCAACCCCAACATCATCATCAACCGCGTCTGCGATCAGCTTACTAACGTCTGCGAGGCCAACGATGCTGCCAAGACCCAGTGCCTGGACGCCAAGGCTCAGATTCTGGCCTCCGGTGACAAGAGCGAAGCTGTTGCTGCCACCTTCAACGGCCTCCTCGGATTCTAAGCGGAGAGGTAGCTGGCGGACTGGACGGGTCCTCAAGGCATTCGTTTTCTTTTATCTCTATAATTTTCATACCGGTCTAAAAATACCGAGGAGCATGGCATATGTATCTTGCGACAAAAGGGACTCTGGAGCTTGGTTTCACATGGCTGGGTTTGGCTGTCTTTGGACATGGTAGCTGGGTGTTCACGAGTAGGATGTTTGAATAAATTGGCTTGCCCGAACTAGTGTCCCACCTCATGCAATGTACTCGATGCGACATACTTTCTGTGAAGCAACTTAGCTCTTCCCGTTTACTCTCAAGTCCGTGTATTTTGGCCTATGTGAGTTGGGCTGAAAAGCGCTCTCTGAACTCTTGAATCGTCGGCGAAGCTCGGTGAGATTAAGCTTTAGCGGGCCCACGTGCCAAGCGAGATGAAGAAGCATCCGCTCTGCAGACGGTGCCCCTTTAGCGCGAAATTTTGTTGTCTCCTTTGACGAATGACTCGGCTTGGTCAATCGGCTCTTACCCACCCCTGACCCTCTCTCACCGACAATTTGTGAGCTGTGAAAAGGTTGAAAGGCTCCAAATATTGTGTTGACGGCAAAGTGTTTGACAGGCGTTTTGTGTGGATTTTTGCTACTGTTTTCTCTCAGGAAGTGGCTAGGGGAAAGGTCGAGTGAGTAATCAAGAGTTGACGACAACAAAATCAAGTCGACCCTGGCTGCGCAGATCTTTTGAACTTGGCAATCGCGATCTGGAAAGTTTAATCTATTTGCCGGCTCGGCGTCCAACGGTATTGACGACCTGGTTGAGATGTCAACAATCATAATGCCACAATCTGCGACGAACTCTCGTCAACGCTACCAGGATGAAGAAAACTCATCCAAGAGCGGGCTCCGGGCACTTTTACCACCTCTCAACTTCATAACACTGCATTATGCCTACTTCATCGGCACAACCCTCCTCGCATCGGCAATCTTCTACGCCTCGTCAAATCCACACGGCAGCATCAGCTATGTCGACTCGCTTTTCCTCGTCATCTCCGCCATGACGGAAGCCGGACTCAACACGGTCAACCTCAGCGAGATGACTGTGTGGCAACAGGTGATGCTATGGCTGCTTATCATTATCGGCAGTTCTGTCTGGGTATCGATATGGACGGTCGTGGCGAGGAAGCATGTCTTTGAAAAGAGCCTGCGGGTGGTCGCTCGTGCCCAAAAAGAAGGCAGCCGGCATGATGGGAGCCTGCCAGTGTCCAATAACAGTATTGCTGCAGCTCAAGGGAAAGGAGCTGCGAGCGGCACCGGCTTGATTGACGTAGAGACATCACCTCAACCTCGAACCGTGGGTAATCACATTACCATCGAGACCACCGGAAACATCAGCCGGCGTTCAACACCTTCGACCCTTTCAAACAAGACACCTACTCGGCCTTGGCTGTCCTTCCTCGGCGCTTCTAAAGAGGGCCGCAACTCCCAATTCCACTCCCTTACGGGGCCCGAACGCTCTCGTCTAGGAGGCCTCGAATACCGGGCCCTTCACCTGTTGTCCATCGTGGTCCCACTATATTCAGTGCTCTGGCAAGTACTAGGAAGTCTTGCTCTCGGAGCCTGGATCGCGAACAACATGCCTATAGTCGCAACATCTAACGGTGCAAATCCGTGGTGGGCAGGCATATTCTTCGCTGTCTCAGCATTCAACAACTCGGGGATGTCATTGCTGGACGCTAACGTAGTGCCCTTCCAGCAGGCATATTTCGTGCTCATAACCATGGGCTTACTCATCCTCGCGGGCAACACGGCATATCCGCTGTTTCTGAGACTTATCTTCTGGGCAGCATTGAAAATACTTCGTGCGACGACAGCCGAGGGAAAATTGGCCGAGCTGAAGAGCACATTGGAGTTCATCCTGAAGTACCCGCGTCGAGTTTACACCAATCTTTTCCCATCACGGCCGACGTGGTGGCTCCTATTCATGGTCCTCATGACGAATGGTATTGACTGGATGGCATTTGAGATTGAAGCTATTCCTGCTGGGGCTAGAGTGCTGGACGGTTTATTCCAAGCGTTAGGTATGTCACTCTTTTCCATCCACTACGAAAAAGACAACACTGACATAGTCGTAGCTGTCCGCTCTGGAGGTTTCTACGTAATCCCAATAGCCTCCGCCTATCCGGGGCTGCAGGTACTGTATGTCATCATGATGTACATCTCCGTGTATCCCGTGGTGATCACTATGCGGCACTCCAACGTCTACGAAGAGCGGTCTCTAGGGATCTATGACGACGATGAACCATCTCCAGTCTCTTCCCACCCGGGCGCGAAAATAGCTCAAAGCAGCACCGGTATTTTGACACACTTTCTACGCGAGAATCTAAGCTTTGCTGGTGTTGGTGCTGCTAAAACCGAGAAGAGAGGCAGCGGGTTTGAAACTCGAATGAGTTTCGTGAACCAGCAAATCCGTGGTCAACTAGCACACGATCTGTGGCTTCTCGCACTGGCTGTTCTCATTATCGTAACGATAGAGACGTCACACTTTCTGGAAGATCCGGTGCACTTTTCGGTTTTTAATGTCATATTTGAAGTGGTTTCGGGCTACGGCTGTGTTGGTATATCTGTTGGGCTTCCTAAAGATGCCATGAGTTTCTCTGGAGGATGGCATCCCGGGAGCAAACTAGTCTTATGTCTCGTCATGTTGAGAGGGCGTCATCGAGGTTTACCTGTGGCTCTGGACAGGGCTGTGCGATTGCCTGGACAGAGGCTGCTGGAGGAGGAAGAGGAAGATTGGAGACTGAGAGGGGCTAGGACCAGACATGAAGCGGCGTGAAAGGCTGCAAAATGCAAAAGCTATGCATGTTACACGCATACTTTATCTGGAGAGGAATAGTAAAGAATCGGAGAGTCCGTCGAAAGGACCAGACCTTTATCGCTGTCAGCCTTGCGCGGGCGTACTCGTACATTCAAGCTTGCAAACGAACCTTTGCTACAGTGTTTCGAATGTTTCTTAAGGCCGTAATTCTATGAAACTTTAGGGCGAAGCACATAGCCATAGGCCGTTTATTTACAGTACTTCTAAAGGCTGGGTGGATGTATACGACTAGCCTTGTCTCCTAAGTACCGATGCTAAGGAATCCCCAACTGCCTTTCACCTCAACTTTGCCTGAATCAGTCCGAGTCTCCACGGTTGCATTTCCCATGAAGTTGGAGGGATACACGAGGGGCTATAGGAGTGACACACTTCGGGGTGTACGACGCCACAGAGCCCATGCATGCTGGGAACGGTTAAGCAAAGACGTAATGTCGCAGCCACATGATCATCACCAAGACACAGCTGAAATACCTGTCTGGGAAGGAAATGTGGCCTGAAAAAGAACCATCTCGACTCACAAGGAGGTCTTTGGGAAGTAAGTCAAACCCCCCACTTCCTGGCACCCCCCTGTTTCTGGCACCCACAAAAACGATGGGATCACAACCCAACCTCCTCATTACTATTAACTATTGATCCTCAACCACACCCACTACAATACAACTGCCAGCCTCACTAGGGCATTCAGAGTCGCTGGATTCAGCCGTAATAACCTCCTTTTCACCCGCTTCGATTTGAGCCCGATGGATATCCCTGATGTTCGCAAACTTCGTGTTGGGATCGATCTGAACAGTCTTCCTCTTCCTAACTGCAGCGTTGGTAACTTGAGCCCTCAGGTGAGCCAGCTGCTGCTGGGCAGCTGCCAGTTGCCAGGCCTGCTCTGTGAAGCCTTTTTTCACCTTCCTGAACAGCAGCCGTTGAGTGCTGGTATCATTGTCGAGTTGGGTGTATAAGTGCAGTTGACCGCTGAGCTCTGCCAGCTTCCTGGGTGTCGACCAGACCACTGCAGAGGAAGCAGAATCCCATGGCTCAACAGGGGTAGTTTGTTGACCATTATGGCATCGCTTTTGCCCCGACTGGTTGGTTTGGGTGTGGTGGGCTTAGAAGGCTCAGGTAATACCATAGGGTTCATCAGGGGCTTAACCATCGCTACAGGGTGTAGACCAGTCCACTTCCAACCACTTCTGATGTTCGAGACTGATAGACCAGCAAGTCGAGCCTTCTGGTAACAGTCCAGGAAGTTCCTTTTACCTATAATGGTAGAGTCGTTCCATTGAGACAAGTAACCGAGCTCCTTCCGATAGGCTGACTTAACAGGGCTGAAGACAGACTGGTCAAGTGGCTGGAGGACATGAGAGGAGTGTGGTGGTAAGAACAGTAAATGGATTGTTAATATAGCAATTCCACATGAAGTCTGTCGTCGTATGACCCCATGCCCATCCACAATCAACAGTCGAGCCTCGCCCTCAGCCTCGCATAGTCTGTGGGATAAACACTTCTCTAACCATTCAATGGCAGTTAAGTCTGTAGTCCAGCCATTATCTGTTGCTGTAAACTCCCACCCATCGTATGGAACCAGATGTAATGGAAACCACTGTTGTTGGACCGTCTTCCTTGAAAATGATAAGAGGACGAAGTGCCCTACCCAAGGCTGAGATACACTCAATGATAGAGACCCATGCCCTCGACCCAGGTTGTTTCTTGCGAACAGACGTCGTCTCAGCCATGCCCAGCACTAACCCATTAGCCTGACCCTCGAGGATGCCAGTCTCATCCATATTATATCTGTTGGCTGGTTTGATGTCCTTGATCTCAGGGATAGCAAGGAACTTAAACCAGTTCCTAATGACCTCAGTAGATGCCCCATTAACGCGTCTAGAATCGATGGAACGACTTCTCTGAACCTTAATGATAGGGTTCCTTCTCACGAAGGCATAGATCCAGCCTTTCCTAATGGTTTGGTATCCCCAGCAGCAGCCAGAACTCGCTCTGCGAATTCCTTCACCTGTTGGTGCGTTGGTGCGAGGCCCAGCGAAGCCTGAATGCGAACCCATTGTGCCAGCTTACTCTCCTGGTCAGGAGACAGCCTCTGCCAGTCAGCAAAAGCCACTTTCCTAGTCTGACCACCTTGGAGACGTAGTTGGAGGGTTGATCGTGGTATCCCATACTCCAATGAGGCTCTCTTTTGACTCTTGCCGTTTGAGATGTCCTCGAGAGCCTGACGAAGCTGATCTTCGGTATATTGAGGCATTAGATATAGAAGAAGGTATGTGCAAAAAATGAGCCCATTTGGACTCGAATTGAAAATGTTGTGATAAAAGGAGGTTGGGGGTGGGCATTGCGTTGTGGTGGATTTTCGCGTTTTTGTGGGTGCCAGAAACAGGGGGGTGCCGGGAAGTGGGGGGTTTGACTTACTGGGTAGAGCCGTTGACTTGGGACGCCTCTGTTAAACTGTTTCTTTGAGACTTGCCATCAGCCAACCAAATAACTGAAGTCAGAGAACTCAATGCATCTTGATGACCATATCAGTTGCTGCCTAAGATGTATCATTGGGATGTTGACACGCTAATCATCCCTTCGGGCGGCACTCGTCAGCGCCCCCCGTTTTCGTACCGGTCAAACGGCTCTGACCAGCGATGTTGGCTCACGCGGTGGCTGTCACGCTTTGAACGCCACGTAGGCCCTCAATTTTACCTCTTTCTGGTCTACCAGCAGACTCAAGAACGTAGAATAGATACTAAGGTGTGGAATGAAAGAACGTCCGCATTGCGACATCACTACCACAGCCTGCCCGAGGCGACCAGATTATGTACCTTGTGTGACTTGCTTGTCACAGTGAGTAGGTTCCTTCTTCTTCGACATTTCGCCAAATCTACGGTTTTCAGTGCGGTTTAGCACATAAGTAGCTTTCACGAATACAACCATGGGGTCATAGTCTGATGTAGAAAAAACCAAAACCTCAAGGAATAAGCTCGTTAGGCATGAGAGGGAAGATTGACACGCAACGCTATACGTTTCTAATAGACCGTAACTGTCGCAAGCTACCATAATTCTCACTACTGTGAATGGACACCAGACTGGGCAGGCTATTGACCTTAGTTACGTTGAAGGCATCTATCATCTTAGCAAAGTAGTGGTATGCGTACGCAAGACAAAGCTACGTTACTTGCTCCTCATGGCCATCAAAGAAACGCATGATGGGCACACACCCAGAGAATGCGCCTCTGAATCAAGACAAGCTATGCCATGGACCAATGGGGAACAGAGCACTTCCCAAGAACGACGGTCAGTCCGTTTTCGACGTTACACCATTTAGTTAAACGCTACTGTTGTCAACGGCACAAGGCTCATAATTGGCTAGAGGTCAGTAGATGTGGAGACCAATGTCTTTAAGGTGCCTCACGTTTGATACAAAGGTGGACTGGTCAGACAGAGGGGACACCAGGAGAAGAGTGGCTTGGCATAAGGTAAAGTAAGTACTCAATTAGCCTACCTCATTTAGGAAGATAAGCTCGGACAAAGCAAACAGCTCTTGAAAGAAATCGAAATGGATTTGCTGTTGTCTCCTTTGCTTGCGCACTGGCCTGAATACTGTGCAGACCTTGGTGTTTGGAGACTCAAGTACCTTACCTTACATTATCGCCGAGTTGTCTTGATGTTGGAAACAGTCATAAATACTCTCAACTCCACTTTAGCAGTCGGAGTAGATTCTTCATCTATCAAGCTCTCAATTGAAGCTCTATATCGAAAACAAAAGTGGACTTCATCATTCGGAACAAAATCACCACGCATATACCTGCAGCGGTCATCATTCAAGGATATCGTGAGTCTTGTGCTTGTCTTCGAATTTTAGCTCACTCGAGAGTTCTTCTTCTATGAAGATAGAAGTTACAGATGACTTTGGCTTGAATGGACCGAACTCTAACAGACCTTCAACTCTAGGGCCTAGTACTACCGTTTAAGAGCAGAACTCGATGGAGATAGTTCGAAGAACCCTTGCCCACCGAAAGTTGAACGACACTGTCTTTGTAGCTGCGAGGGCCGTGATCTGTCTTATCGTTGTTCTCGATAGCCACACGCTAACCTTGTCATCGACGATTCACCGAGTAACTACCTTGGTGCTGTCTTATGATATGGTCATGGAGTTTCGGAACGGTTTTCGAATGCCAAGAGACGGCGATAGAACCCGGGTTGATACTCAAACGGGATTTTATTACGCTTCGGCTATATGGATCGCGGTTTTCGATAATGACGATTCTCTTTGGATTCTCAAAATCATCCAGATTTTGGTGCTTTTGGGCGACTGGTTACAGCAAAAGCAAGCTAGGACCACTCATGGAGCATCAATCCTGGTACTCTTTCTATTCATGAACCATCATATACTTTTTCAACAAGTAAGTATTCCAGTTGTTTGGACATTGCCATCATAAACAAGATGCTGACTATTGAAGCATGTTGATGGCCCTGGAGACTCATCCCTTTCGGACCTGCCTCGAAGAGATGTCTCTTTCGAGTTGTGCAAGCTCAACACAACACAAGAAGCTAATGGTGAGCGGTCTGCTTAATTTCCCTTCTGTCTCTAATTGCGAAGTCGATGCTCAAACCCTTTCCTATTCCCGTTATGCTGGTGCTGCTATATGTACCTGTCTCTATTTCCCGCCTGCGGTCGAGCAATCAGGATAGACTGTGCTAACTCACCCCTTAGGAGACAAGCGTGCAGGTGAGGGCTGGGCTCGTTCAGAAATCACATCTCTGATTTCAACACTTGTAACGCCCCTTGTGGGACCGGCTGTGGGAGCATTCTGGGGCTCAATCTTTGCCTTTGCGAGCCCCAAAATCCTGCAGAAGATATGTAAAGCGTTGAAAGATTGGCAGATATCTAGACCGGTGACCTCAGGAGCCCGTTGGGCAATGGACTCTGCGCGACCAATCATTCCATCTATCCCTGCACAGATGGAAGC